TTCTAATGGAGATGATGTGTTACCACACCTGTGCAGCCAATTGATAACCATGCTATTTTAAATTTGAATGGATATTGTTCGGATCATTGAAGATGGCTCAAATAGAAGCCGAAACGTCTGATTTATTTTTATAAGTATATTTTAATAAATAATTTTAATTCGCACGAACAACCGCAGTTTTTGACTCTCATTAGCCTGTTTATTTATTGTTATTAAATACTAAATCTTATATCTAATTTAATTATCTTGTATAATAAACTTTTACAAACTTTGACGTAAAATATTGTTACGATAAATAAGTTTCAATTCTGCATTATAAATTCCTCTATTACATAAAAACAAATAAATCACAGAAAAATATTTATATATAAGAATGTTTTACCAAAGTCAAGATTAACCCATTTAGAATAGCTTGTGTGCCTACAAGTATCAACGTGTATAAAAATATTGTCACTGCAAGAAACTCAAACAGTGGCGATTGTTGAGTTTCAAAGGGAAGTTGTATCTTTATAGGAAGCTGCCGCAAAGTGTCATTTTGATCATCAGTCAAAGACACGAAACGAATTACGTAATCTCCTGAGAAATAAAGGACCGTAACAACCACATTAGCACACAATATACTGTTGGAAATAAAATGTGCTACATTGGCTTTAATTGTCATCATATACAAATGTTCATCCATATTGCACTGAAGCCAATCATTATCCATAGCAATTAACATTTGACAAAAAATTCTGAAAAACGTTATTTTAATCTATTATAATATTTCAAATGCAAAAATTACATTTTTTCCAAAAGCCATCAACGTTGTGTTTAATTCTCAAGCTAAAGTTTGGGTGATGACATTAATAAATCACTTTTGCTTATGATAAATCAAGTCAACAGTGTTATAAAATTGAAAAAAAAATTGTTTTTCGAAAACGGAATTAAGTAAAGCTGAACAAAGTTGAATTATATAGTATAGAATATCTTACTGACGGCGTATCCACAATCCAATCAATTTAAATAACGTCAAATTGTATAATATAGTTACAGTCAAACTGTCAATGAGATTCGCGATTTCGCTGATACTCAGATGTTCAAAAATGTACAAATACTGAAAGTACTGTATGACCACTGTGCACAATATAATACTCAAAAAGTGAACAGTAGAATACAAATCACTCGGCCAAATGCCGAGTAATTGGAAACAAATTTTCAGCACTGGGCTGCAAGTACTTCTTATTATCATTTGCCAATGGTTTTTATAACGTAAGAAAGCAAGGATCAGCGTTTGCACATTTATTTGATCCTCTAGGTAAGAAGTAAATGAGACAGTATATCGTCTATTTCTCCAAGTATTATACATATATTCCCATTCGGTGCATTCTCACTCGCATAAATATGGATCAAACATTATGTATTGTGTAGCATCATAATAAATGAGGATATAGCTAATTTTTTTATAAACGTATTGTAATCTTCTATTGAAATATAATAACGTAGTAAATGACTAGGAAAACTAAGAAAAACATATGTCGAACAATTGATGTACGATTCGATGTGTAATATAGACAGTTCCCTTTCCTTGCGAACTTATATCTGGGCAATAAATTTCTAGAAATAAGAGACAAACGTCCGCTGCATTCTGTACATTGTAAAAAACGATAATCGCACAGCAGGCCAACAATAATTGTGTATTAAATATTCTAAGCGAACGTAACTGAATAACATTCATGTAATTCTAGTTTTGATGGTCTTCGAAGAAATAATATAAGAGCAAAATAACAGAACATCATTAAAATGATAAGTAATATGCCTTAATGCTTCTAGGAATTATTCTTATGGAAAGTATCCCGAATTAAAAAATTGTTTAATAGAAAATATTAGAAATATTTGAAATAGTTTGAAAAAAAAGTATACTCACAACGTCATATGATCGTACATAGAAGAAATACTAATTGTCTAAAAAAGCATAAACATCAAAAACATCCGACTATAAAAAATCTTTTTAAGTTTAAATGTATATAAGGTAATATGATAATAACAATATACGTAAAATTATTTATTTCTACATATGTGTGTGTGTGTGTGTGTGTGTGCGCGCGCGCGCGTGCGTATAACAAA